CTGATGTGTGACTGCATACATACGTGATCGGCATTGAGAGCGAAAACACTTCGCTTGCGCTGCATTTGTCAGGACTACTGTTGTAACTATCATTCCTTCTCCCTTACAACGTTTACACGGGTTCGGCTATAACGGCATCGTCCGTATACACCTTTCTACGTGGTTGGTATTACAGCTTGAGGGTTCGGTGCATAGCGTCCCACGGGACGTCACCTTGCCGTCTCTTGACATGCCATGGGCGATGAACATCTCGGAGTAGGTTTCGGAGGAATCAAATCTCACCATGTAGTACGTGATGTTTTCTCAGGCGTTCGCCTTGCATACCCTGTGAGTAGGCGGGACACGCAAGCACATGTTAAAAACTTCCGTCAGTTCATGGGCCTTCGGGCCACTGATTCGCCGCCAGCATGTCTAATAAAAATGGATGCAGCAGGAGAGCTCGAAGGAGCGGCCCACGAAGTCGGTCTCGTCCCCGAGACAAGCTTGCCGAACAGGTGGCCACACAACACCGTCCTGGAGCGCGACATTCGCGAAGAGAAGGAATGCTGTCGCAGCATCCACTTGCAATCAGGGCTGCCCTATTCGTTGCACACGTTTAGTTACCCATTTGCATGTCTCTCCATGTCGTTCGACAGGCCTGCTCCATTCAGCCCCGGTAAAACCCAATGGGAAGCTCTCACCAAGGAAAAGTTCCAAGGGAAGAGATGCTGTTTCGGGCAATTGGTTTGGTACAGAACCAAGACTCCTGGCAAGCGCACTCTCGATCCGAACATGGCGCCAGCGCTCTTTTTGGGTTGGAGGGTCGATCCGGGGTTGCGGTACCGTAATGTGGTCAAAGTCATGGACTATGAAGCCTTCCGTAAAGATGGTTCCATTTCCGTTCACGATGTTCCTGAACCGGAATTGTTCATTGAGGACGGACCCCCAAGCTTCCCGATCGCAGCAGCAGCAGACAGAGCATTGCATGGTGGCAAGACAGACGGGTCAGATCCCCCAACTTTGCCCCTGCGAGAGGCGCCCTTTGGGGCCCCACCGACTCCATCCGCTGTCAAGTCAAAATCCGTGTACATAACTGTTGAGAGGATCATCAAGTTCAAGGAAACGCCAGGTTGCCGTGCATGCACCGGTCATTCCAAGATTCACAGTGCCGAATGCAAGAAGAGGTTCTCCGAACTTGTTTCTGCAGATCGAGCTGAAGCAGCTGCAAAAAGCGCTGCCAAAACTGAATCTAAGGAACCCATTCCCATTGTTCATACTGAAGGGGATGAGGAGCTAGCCAGAGCAATCCACGCATCCGAGCATGAGGAGGATCCTAAAATAGCAGTTAGTGCAGAAGACGTTGCGCATGAATTTGATGCAGCCGAAGCTGGGGAGCCCGCTCCCTCAAGACCCGGTGCCTCATTTTTCGATACCGCGCCAGCGACAGCCGCTACATCGCAAGGTGAAGATTTTTGGGTGTTCAAAGAAATGCCAACTGTTTGGTTCGATACCATATCATGCCAAGGCAGAATCTTTTTACCCCAAAAGAGGTCGAGGATTGCCCCGTTTCCCCAGAAAGATTTACTGCAGCTCGCACCACTCGTGCCGTGTTTCAGGGGGGCAAAGCAGACAACATCCACGATGGTTGGTTTGGTAGCCGACCTAATCGCTCACTTGGAGATGCATGGACCGGGTTCACAGTGTTCAAGTTAAAACCCATTCAGTCCGATTGCGTGATCACCACAGGTGCAGCCGTGATGTTAGACTCCGTGCCGCCGACACCTCTCACCGAAGCGTCAAAGAACGGTCGTCCAGATACATTGCCAATTTTTGGCATGCCATGCAGGGCAGAGGTTGAAGCTCCGCAGCCCAAGCAGTTTGAGGTAGGAAATCATCGTGCCCGCAAGCGACAGGCACGCATTGACAAGTTGCCTGTGATGTTCGAATACGCATGTTCACCAGAGTCCAATATGGGTCGCGTGTTTGAAGGTCTTGGTATACCTCATGTTAGGCTGGCTAAAGAGTTTATCGACCTTAGCACAGATGAAGGAGAAATCCAGTTGCAGTCGCAGATTGAAGGTTGTGACAAACCCAATCTCTGGGCTGCAATTCCCTGCGCATCAGGTTCAGCATGGCAACGCCTTAATAAGGCCAAGTTAGGAAGCCAGTTCAAAAAGAAACTGAAGCAAAAGGTTAGAGAGTCGAGAGAGTTGTTCTCCAGATTCAGACGTCACGCAGAGACTGTCCTCCATCAGGGGGGTAGTGTTTCGTTTGAGTGGCCAAGGGATTGCGACAGCTGGGCTAGGGATGATGTTTCTGCATTCTTTAGGGAATACGCACAAGTCTTCACCCCAGCGACCTTCCACGGTTGCGCCCTAGGTCTGAAGGACAGCAATGGTTATCCCATCAAGAAGCCATGGAAAGTCATGACCAGCAATAGCACACTCGCATCCGCGCTAGGTGCATTCAAGTGTCCGCACGAAAAAGGGTATAAACATTCGCTTGCAGCAGGTAACAAGACCGCAAAGACCGCTTTCTACCCCGAAGGCATGTGTCTCACAGTTGCCCGTGCGCTGTATCCGACAGTTCAGCCCGTGGTGCCTGCGATGCCTGTCCAAGTGCCATTGTTTCTCGATCACCGGGAACGTGAACAGCAGCTAAAACACATATCCCCTCTCTCCGGTTTGGAAGACATAGGTGTTGCTGTTGAGTCCGATGAAAAGTGTCACCACATTCTTGAACAAGTTCTTGATGTTGAAAATCTCATCGCACATTCCCTAGGACAAGTCAAAGAAGAAAAGGATCCTGAGATCACCGCAATGGTGACCAGACTCTTGTCACGTGCCGAAATGTTGGCTTCCCCGGAAGCCCTTGAAGCCGTTCGACTTGAAGCCACAGGCCTGGAGAAAGCCGGTGTTTGGGATCTAAATTCAGTCCGAGAGTATGATCAAGTCGCTGCTGAGGCGCGACGATCCAGTATAAAAGTCCATTTCGGGCAGTTGATGTCGCTAGCATCCGTCAAGTTCGCCGAACTCGCGAAACACCTTCAGAAGATGAAAGGTAGGATTGTGTATCGCGGAGACTGTGCGAAAGACGAACATGGCGCGGCAGCTGTCTACCAAGAATTGGGAGCAAATCCCACGAGCGTACAAGGTCTTAATAACTGTCTCGCTTATGGATCCCTGCCAGGGAATTCCACCACAACAGCGGACGCTATAAAGGCTTATGTGCAAGCACTGCTGAAATCCAAGTACCAAACTTGGATCACACTCCCGCCTGAGCTCCGGCCAAGGTGGTGGCGCGAGCGTTTCGTGAAACCTGTGGTTTTGCTCGTTAAAGCTCTTTATGGGCATCCTGACGCTGGCGGACTCTGGGAGGCACACCTCAAAGGTTTCATTAGTGAACTTGGAGGGCGTGAGGTCGCAGAGTTTCCTGGAAACTTCTGGTTCAAGGAGTCCGGGTTACTTCTCTCGACATACGTCGACGACTTGACGTTGGCCGGCCCCAGCCACCTTCATAAAGACTTCTGGGAAAAGTTAACAAGACTGGTTGATATAGAACCCCCAGAAGACATATACCGGGTGCTAGGCAGGAATCACCTTTTGATAGATGCTCCAAAGGACCCAACTGAACCCGATCTTAATGCCGCAATGGGCAGATTGAAAGGGGGCATGGCGTTCGACATGCGGGATTATGCCCGTCAAACGGTTGCATTATATCTTGAGGTTGCACAGCTAAAAACTGAAAAGTTGCGTGATGCCACCACTCCATTCTGTCCCGCTGGATCCCTTGATCCTGCAGATGACGCCTTGGAGGGTGAGCTCGGCTTCGCCGCTTGCCGCGTGTTAATGAAAGCCTTATGGCTCGGCCGTTTGGCACGCCCAGACCTGGTCAAGCCCATTGGCGACCTTGCCTCATTTGTTCAGAAATGGTCTAGGAACTGCGATAAGCAGCTACATAGGCTTGTCTGCTACATAAACAGCACGGTCAACAGCACGCTAGTCGGCACAGTTCAGGATTCGACTGATGAGTTGCATCTGTCTCTCTATGTGGACGCCGATTTCGCTGGAGAACGAGACGCAAAATCAACGTCCGGAGGATTCTTGACTTTGAGTGGTCCGCATACGCATTTTCCCCTTGCGTGGGTGTCTAAAAGGCAGACCTCGGTCTCCCGATCGACAACCGAGGCGGAGATCGTATCTCTCGCATACTCCCTTTACCAGGAGGCGCTTCCTGCGCTCAGCTTATGGGAGCTGATCTTGGACAGACCATTCCATCTCAAGATCCACGAGGACAACCAGGCGACTATCCTCGTAGCAAAGAAGGGTTTCTCATCCAAGCTACGCTGTGTCCAGCGCACCCACAAGGTGAACCTCGCGTGCATCGCAGAGCAGCTTGAAAGCGAACATATCTCGATAGAATACGTCCAAACCGACATGCAGTCAGCAGACATCTTCACGAAAGCACTTCCACCCAACAAGTGGGACCATGCCATCCGGTTGCTCGGCATTCGTGTTGACCTTCCAGAGAAGCTTGAAGACGTTCGTGAAAGTAGATCCGCTAAAGCAGCTGCCTAGTGCGCTGCAGCATGTCTGCAAAATTTCCAAAAGTGTGCAAGTGACTGGGCGATGCTTGAATAACTTGCGTCAGTCGTTGTGATGTAAACCTTTCTTTAAGGTGGCGTGGTAATGCGCCCAAGACACTCCCTCAGTGCCGTCAATGAGGGGGGAGTCAATTATCACGATGACATTTATGGCCCAGAGGTACAACAAGTTGCATGATGTACAAACATGACAAGGACCCAGATGACATGTCCGCATGTCATTTGGCTCAAGTGCTGAAAAGAGCGCGTTGCTCGCGCTACCCACAAGGTTAAGGGAGAGGTCGCAGTCACGGAGGGGTTCGTTCCTTTTAAGGTCCCGGGTTCCCCCTTTGTTGACAAAACTGTGTTTCCCTCTCCTTTGAGTTTTCATGGTTGTTGTTGGGAAACATGTTACATGTTTGCTTATTGTGGTTTAGTGGTTGAAATTCCCACTTGAGTGCTATTTTTTCAATTTGTTGCTCCCCTTCCAACGTCAACCAAGGAGTTTGTAGCCTGTGCCGGATTGAAATGAAGTCTAGTCCGACGTCAAAAACGCATTACCAGAGCCAAAGAGTCTGGGAAGCTTTTCACACTTGCCGCAGCGTGCAGCTGTGTGCTCGCCCGCCTTGCGAAAGATGCTGGTTTCCATTTTTTGGGGGTGGCCCCAGAAGAGGATCGCCAGTTGTGTCCAGCCATAGGATGTTTTACTTCCCCTACCACTCCGGCTTTGCGGCTTCGGCAGCAGAATCAGAAACCGGGGAGGTGCATAGGGACAGTCCCAACCCGGACGTTCGGCGCGGATCTCCGGAGTTCTTTGCATTGGTTTGGGTAGACCAAGTGAGCCACTTGCTCAAAACCCGGGGATTGATGCGTTGATGAAGGTTAGCAAGGGACAATCCCAACCATAAATAGCTGCGGATATCCGCCTTCTTAATTCTTTATATTGTTCTGAGTCGACCATTTTCATACCGGGGTTTGATTATGACCCATTTTAGCACCAGGTGTTGATTGCGACTCATGTCACGAGTTGAGCACGGGGCTCTGTGAAACGATGCGTTTCATGTTGATTTCCTTTCAAACCACACCCAAAAGGCCCCGTTTCATTTCGACATAGCGCTATCTATGAACAATGAACAGGGGCATATAGCCAATGAACGCAAATTTGTGCGCGTCCGCATGCACGTATGCATATTGATACATGCATATGTATATGTCGTGCATTTCCATGCATGCTTGCATGCGCACATACGGGCCTGCCTGCATGTTTGCGTGCATCCGGTCATGTATGTATGCCCACATTGACCCATACCTGCTTGTTGCGATTCCACTTCATGCGTCGATCCGTTCCTGTTTCAACGTTTGTACCTACACCCGAAAACAGCTTGCAGAGTGCTGAGTGCTTGCGAGTCGCGAGGGTTTTAGAACGAAATCCGTGCGGAAATGGAGAAGCCTTGTTTCAGGCATCCCTTAGTTGGCAGTTTAAGTTGGTCTGGGGTTTGAACCTCTGGGTTTGTAGAGGGTAAATGGTAAAGACCACCAATCAGAGGGAAGCTGATCGACTCGGGGCTGTGTCACGTGTTTTGCTCCAAGGCGGTCGTGCAGGAGGGTGCGCCGGGGCTCTACACGCAGCTCACGCGCTCGGAGAAGATCGCTGAGAAGTTCGGCTCGCGGATGGCGATGTTGAACATCCTGGAGCGCTCAGGGCTTTGGACGGACTAATTACTTGAATCTTTGTTAACGTCAGGTAGGTTCTCAAAAAAGCCCCAGTTAAGTTGTAACCATGGCTACAAACCTATTTGGTTGGACATCCAAGTGCCTAGCAAAGGTCTAGGGCTAACCTTCCGCACAATTCACAGTGCAATTTTAGAAGGGTCAGTATTCATAAAAGCAACTTAACTTCACAAATGTGACGATGGTTGATCGCGTTCTGCTTATCATTATAAATTGCAATCTACCTGCTAATTGTGATGGGTCCTCCAAGCAGGCATATCACTTGTAATGGTTTCTCGATTATTTTTAGGGGCATTTTTAGATAGAGCATATAGAGCCGCACACATGCCTTTGCCAGCATGATGTTTCAGTCATGGTGACTGTTGCTGGTGGTGAACGACGGTCAAGAACTCCTTATTTTTTTTTAAATGCATGCCCCTAGGCATGTAAAATTACACATGGATCGAGTCTGTGTTTTTAGGATTCGGACCCTCAGATGTTGGTGTTCCTTTTTTCCCCTTAAAAACCAAGAAGCGCAGAAAAGACACACGCGTGTGGTTGATGACATTCTAGTACCCCAAACAGGGGCCTGAGCGGGACTCGACAGGAGTATCAAGCTGGGCGCGACCGACAGGGCGAGAAGATGGTTGAGGGTGCCCCGGCCAGTGGGGAGAGCGGGAGGGATAGGAATCTGCGAGAAAACTTTGGGGCTCCTTCTTTCGGGAGTTTTTTTGTTTGGAAGTCAAGCAACAGATAAGAACGGGGTCCTTTATCCCTTGGGTATGATGGTCGTTCAAGGTGGAGCCTGGTGAAGCAAGCAGCTAGGAAGTTCTCAAGAAGCATTGGGCGCTCCTCCGCTTGTTCTTGCTGCTGGTTCCCCAGCGGGTTTGTCTTAAAGGGGAACCCCCGAAAAAAATGGTTGGCTAGGTCCCCCAGTAGTGCCCTTTTACCAACCTTTTTTGGGGGAGGGTTCCCCTACTAAAATAGATTACAGAAAAAATCGGGTACCCTTGTTCTAACCTCTCTACTGGAGGACTTAGTTGGTTTGCCTTGCCAGCCCAAAAGGCTAGCCTCAAAAACCGTCTGACCCCTCACAGCGTTGAACCCATTTGTGGTTGAACCACGGGTTTTCCACACCCTCCATTGAACCCAGTTGACTGCAGGTTTTTGCGCAACCTACTTGGGCCTCAAAAAGCTGGATTGGAACCCAACCAACATGCGAAGGCTTTCCTTTTGGTTTCCCTTTGCAGTGTAAATGGGTTACCCTTCGCCGCAAAGGATGGGGACTCATATTTTGACTCGCTTGTCCCAAGCGAATCGTTTTCCTTTTTGGTTTATTTTTAGTCATGGCCGCAAAAGGTGATACCGCAAAAGGCAATCACCTTTTGCTTGCTGGTGCTCAGCAGGGAATGAGGGAGTAACCCTCGTAAACCATCCAACTGGTGGATTCCTTTCTTCGGGAATCCCGAAACGGTTCATTTCCACATTCCCTACCGAGTTCGCACCCGCAAGAATAAGATAGAACCTCGGTCCCTCATGGTCCAAACCAGGACCCCATGGGTCCCATTTGGGGAGCATCCGAGGCTTCTTCTGCGACCTGCTGGTGGTGAGCGTCGAAAGCTGGCGCCACCTGCCGCAGGGCATCCACACGCTGACGCCGCTGGTCCGCGCGGGGATGACCGGCTTCCAGGGCGAGCGAGGCGGGCGCTAAACGCGGACGTGGAAGGGGCGTGGGTGTGGGGTGGGTGTGAGTGGGGGTGTGGGTGGGCGGGTGGGTGGGTGGGTGGGGGTGGGGGTGGGTGGTTTGGGGCAGCTTTCAGGGAGGGTGCCGGAAAATGCGGGGCTGTTGGGGATATCACCTGGCTTTTTTGGAGTTTCCACGATTTTGACATAGCGTCTCGTCTTGTTTTGAGGCTCGGTACCAAATTTGGTTGGTGCTTAAAGGGAAACCAAAAAAGCATTTGTGTGGGGTTCCGATTCCTATTTTGAGAGAAGCAACAGCTGAAAGGTTTAGGGTCTTGGTCGAGATAGGCTCCAGGGGGGTGGGCAGCTCTGGGTAGGATTCGCGCGAATGTGCCTCCTGCTGTTGGGGATATCACTTGAGCTGGCTTTGGAGGGGACATTGAAAGAGAGAAAGAGAAAGAGAAAGAGAGAAAGAGAGAAAGATAGAAAGATAGAACGAGACAGAGAGAGATATAGGTTTGTCCTCTTTAAGACTCTTTTGTTCAGGAGCCATAGTATTGGTATTGGATGTAATGTAACACTTGCCGCAAAAGGCCTGCCTTGAGAGAAACAGCGAGGGCTTGCTGTTTGGACCTGGGCGAAAGCTGGGCAAAGTCCCATGGTTGCCTCCTGGGGCGAGGAAGCTTGCTGCTATTTTATTGTGGTATTGTGGGAAATCAACCGGGGCTTCGGGAAATTTATTAGGGAACTTCAAAAGTGGTTGGGTGACCGTCATTTTCATCCACCGAGTTTTGATGCCCATTTCAGTCCGGGACCCATTTAAGAAGTCACAGCCACATGACTTTGTAGCTGGAGCCGCAAACTAACGGGAATCTTGCGGGTTTAGGATGGTGTTTTGTCAGCCTCCCTCAACAAAATGGGTGGTTTGGATTGGCGATGTTGGTTGTTAAGCCTGGTGCAACATTCCCAAGCCACCACTCCCCAAGCCGTTTACCACTCTTTGGCTCAGTTGTTCAAAGACGACCTTTTGACCTTTTGGTTTTCCCTTTTTGGTATGCTTTTAGTAGAGGTCCCAAAAGGTTAGCCTTCGATTTCCAGGTCCTTTGGGCAAGTGAGTTGGGGTTTCGGTCGCCGGGCGAGGCGGCTTCGCCCGGTTTCGGCTGGAGGCCGCGGCTTCGGCTTCTCCACGATGAAGGACGTGTTCTTCGTGCTGCTCCATGAGCCTTGCGAGAGAAAAGTCGGCGGCCAGCTGGACAAAGAGGCTTGGCGAAAACCAGGCCACAGAAAACCCAAAAAAGGAAAACATGGGAGACCACGAGAAAAACATGGAAGGGGGGAAGGGCAAAGATTGGGAGGAAACGCTCCCAACATCTCCCAACCAACGAGAGTTGCGGAGCTGTTGATTTGTTTTGCAGCCCTAAGTCAGCAGTTCGGAGCCAACAGTTGCTTTAAGGCCAACGAGCCAATACCCTTCCTCCAAAAATCAATTTAGCTGACAATCGGAGGCTGTTGGAAGACTACTTTCCTTTGGGGGACCCCCTGTCCACTTCCAGGGCCCACATCCAAGTCAAGGAGATTTGTTTTCTCCATTTTCACACATTGCTCATACTGCCTGCCCCAATTTTCACACGGCCCCTCGATCATCTTGCGCGGGGCTGCACTGATGTTTGTTGGTTTGTTTGCTTGCTTGCTTGCTTGCTTGTTTGTCTGTATGTTTGTTTGCCTGTATGTTTGTTTTTGTTTCTTTGTTGTGTGTGTGTTTTGTTTCAGCTTTTGTTTGTGCCTATGTGGGTGCCGATGCATTGATTGATTTCCCAGTCCTAGTCAGTTTGACCTGCAGGTTGCTGAAAGGTTAGCGCAAGGTTGCGTGAGTGGTTTTGGGATTAAGCCCTCTGGTTCTTGCAGATGGACAATATGAAACTACCCCAAACTTCTGCACCACCCGTCCAAACCACAAATTCGAGGGAAGCTGAAAGCTGCCCGACTTTCTCGGTAGTACTTTGGTGCATTTTGCTTGGATGTTAAGACTTCAACTTTTTGCCAACTAATGGGTTTTCTATTAAACCACTAAAAGCTAAACTTTTAGCAGGGGAGCAGAAAGCAACCGAGTAGAGGGAAGCTGAATCTAGAGCTGCCCGAGTTTCTTGGTAGTAGTTCCCAGCGCCAAGTCTTTGCACGTCACGTCGGCGTGGGAGCCTTGCAACCGAGGACGACGAGGATGGGCAGGCGCTTATCCATGCCTGCCGCTTCATGGAGGATCTTCAGGAGTTTTTGTCCGACCTGCATGCAGGAGAGAGTCGCGATTCCGGGCAGTGGGTCGCTTAGGGATCGCGCAAATGGTTCGCTTAGGGATCGCGCAAATGGGTCGCTCCGGGATCGCGTTTTGAAGAAGGCTTGTCGCGCATGCATGCGTGTTGACATGTCACCTCGCGATGTATATTTATATGCGCGCATGTGTTTGCATGTATGCGCTTGTCTGTGCTTGTTGGCGTGTATGTCTCATGACATATGTGACGTGTATGTCTCATGACATATGATGAGCGGGTGTGCAGGCTGGGAAAAAAAGAGCAGGCTGGTCTGCAGCAGTTGAGCGGGTGTGCTTATCATGCCCCCCACCCGACCCCCCCCCCAAGAACGATGTTATTTTGTAATCCGGTAAAAGAGCAGGCTGGTCTGCAGCAGTTGAGCGGGTGTGCTTATCATGCCCCCCTCCCCCAGAGCCATGTTATTTTGTAATCCGGTAAAAGAGCAGGCTGGTCTGCAGCAGTTGAGCGGGTGTCCTCCCCCACCCAACCCCCCCCCCAGAACCATGTTATTTTGTAATCCGGTAAAAGAGCAGGCTGGTCTGCAGCAGTTGAGCGGGTGTGCTTATCATGCCCCCCCCCAAAACCCCCCCGTTATTTGTAATCCGGTAAAAGAGCGGCTGGTCTGCAGCAGTTGAGCGGGTGTGCTTATCATCCCCCCCCCCAACCCCCCCCCCAGAACCATGTTATTTTGTAATCCGGTAAAAGAGCAGGCTGGTCTGCAGCAGTTGAGCGGGTGTGCTTACCATGCCCCCCCCCCCCCCCCCGGAGCCATGTTACTTTGTAATCCGGTAAAGAGCAGGCTGGTCTGCAGCAGTTGAGCGGGTGTGCTTACCATGCCCCCCCCACCTACCCCCCCCAGAGCCATGTTATTTGTAATCCGGTAAAAGAGCAGGCTGGTCTGCAGCAGTTGAGCGGGTGTGCTTATCATGCCCCCCCCCAACCCCCCCCCAGAACCATGTTATTTGTAATCCGGTAAAGGAGCAGGCTGGTCTGCAGCAGTTGAGCGGGTGTGCTTATCACCCCCCCCCCACCCCCTCCCCAGAGCCATGTTACTTTGTAATCCGGTAAAGGAGCAGGCTGGTCTGCAGCAGTTGAGCGGGTGTGCTTATCATGCCCCCCCCCCCCACCCCCTCCCCAGAGCCATGTTACTTTGTAATCCGGTAAAGGAGCAGGGTGGTCTGCAGCTGTTGAGCGGGTGTGCTTATCATCCCCCCCCCCACCCCCTCCCCAGAGCCATGTTACTTTGTAATCCGGTAAAGGAGCAGGCTGGTCTGCAGCAGTTGAGCGGGGTTTAGTGTTATCATCCCCCAGCCCAACCCCCCCCAGAGCCATGTTATTTGTAATCCGGTAAAAGAGCAGGCTGGTCTGCAGCAGTTGAGCGGGTGTGCTTATCATGCCCCCCCCCCAAACCCCCCCCCGTTACATTTTGTAATCCGTAAAAGAGCAGGAGGTCTGCAGCGTGAGCGGGTGTGTGCGCGGATGCCCCCCTCCCCAGAGCCATGTTATTTTGTAATCGGTGGTAAAAGAGCAGGCTGGTCTGCCGCAGTTGAGCGGGTGTCCTCCCCACCCAACCCCCCCCCAGAACCATGTTATTTTGTAATCCGGTAAAAGAGCAGGCTGGTCTGCAGCAGTTGAGCGGGTGTGCTTACATGCCCCCCCCCCCAACCCCCCCCCCAGAACCATGTTATTTTGTAATCCGGTAAAAGAGCAGGCTGGTCTGCAGCAGTTGAGCGGGTGTGCTTATCATGCCCCCCCCCCCACCCCCCCCCCAGAGCCTGTACTTTGTAATCCGGTAAAGGGCAGGTGGTCTGCAGCAGTTGGCGGGAGTGCTTATCATCCCCCCCACCCAACCCCCCCCCCCCCGTTACTTTGCAATCCGGTAAAAGAGCAGGCTGGTCTGCAGCAGTTGAGCGGGTGTGCTTATCATCCCCCCGATCCCTAAGTGAACCGTGAATGTGATCCCTAAGTCTTAGTGTATCCCTAAGTGACCGTGATCCCTAAGTGAACCGTTTGAGCGATCCCTAAGTGACCACTCTGCCCGCGATTCCAGGCAAAACTAAACACTTGCCCAAAAACACCACGAGGTTGATTTGCTAAATACGTGGATAATTTGTTTCAAGGGAACCCCCGAAAGGCTTCGGAGGTTCCTTTTGGTTATTCTTTGAAAACCACCAAAAAGCACGGGTTCCGTCCAAGAAAGACACATGCACAAGGCACACATCGATCCCGACCAAGGCTTCGTCAGAAGTCTAGAAAACGGTTTGGATGCGCTTTTTGTGGACTTCACCTGTTCTTCCCCCTGTAGGTTCGTTTTTAGTACTCTTTTAGTACTCCTTTAATATCCTACTGGGGATCCACCAAAACCGCATCCAAGCCGTTTGCTTCGTCAGGAGTGGACGCCAACGGGATCCCTGACGAGCGGTATTTTGTGATGCCCGACAACTCCATGGTGCCATGGGAGCAGGCCGTGGAAACTTTGGGTGGCAAGCCCTGCCAGCCGGGTCCTTCGCTGTTTTGTTTTCTCCCCAATTGGTTTTTAGCTGTTGTTTTTTCCCAATAGGTGTTTAGCTGTGTTTTTTTCAATAGTTTTTTTTGGTTTGGTTTTGTTTCCGGCTGGTGTAGTGGCAGTTTCCACGAGACAACTCAAAGTGAAGCTTTTCGCAGGGGATTTGGGAGCAGTCCATTTTTGTTTTAGTCTTTTCCCGTGAGAGGCCCCGATTTGGTCGCCCTCCCAGAGGACAAAGAGCAAATGAAGATGCTGGAAGACCGTCTTGGTGGTGCAAGCGGTTGTTCTGTCAGGCATACAAAGCGTCAATTGGTGTAACTTGCTTGAACATTCGCAATTTGACATGGGGTTGCTTGTTTTTGCACTTGCACTTTCTATCGGCTTGTCAACACGTACTTCCTGACAAGAGAACTGAGAGGCCAAGACTTGAGTCGAATAGTGGGCAGGGTGTGCACGCCTGAGTCTGGTTCCATGCCACAGGTGTCAATGCATGGCTGACTGCTTGATACACGAGGGGTCTTAGGGGATTTGAGGAAGGCTCATAGCAAGATTTCGAAGCTTTGGTAGGGCTCGTGGATGAACAGCTTCTCCGAATTCCGAAGGGTTTGCTTGAAGGGAACCGTCAACCCCAGGGTTCAACCCCCATGAAGATAATGGTTGACCATGCCGGATGATGACAATTCCTTGCGTAAATAAACAATGGTGAAATCTGAACATAAGCACCGTTTGAATGGTGGCAACTGAACCCCAGGGTCAATCATCTATCACTACTGGAAAAACTGTTTGTTTGTTGGCGAGGGGACTTTAAGCAAAATGGAGGATGAATCACGGCAACCGCATTTAAAGTGGTGTTGAAATCTGAACCCAAGCACCGTTTTACTGGTGGCAAGTGAACCCCAAGGCCGCATCAACTTGGGGGACTCTGGGTTTCTCCTTCATCGTCAGGTCTCGCAGCCGCACGTGGAGAGAGGCGGTTCCGCCACCTTGGCACGACTGCCCCGCGCGGCCTTCTGATGAAAGAGGACGCTGGAGCCACCGAAGCGACCAGGCGGTGACCAAAGTGGAGACGGGGCAAGTCGCGAGGAACTTGTTGAGGAAGAAAGGCCGGCCATATATGGGTATGAAAGGGACCCTTTGGTGGAAATCGTTTAGGTGGGGATTTATGTCCACCAACCACTTGTCACAGGGTTCCCCTATTGAAATTCATAGCCATATACGGGTCTGTCTTTTTATGAGGGTAGTTTTGAAAGGAAACCAGAAGGAACGCCCCAATTTAAGAATGTTCCCCTAAAGAGAGACAGACCATAAGAGTTCATAGCGCACGAGTTGACCTACCTCTTTCAGTTTGAGCCACAGCCGTGTCATTTTTGGGGGGACGCGCCAATGGTTGGGTTCCTCGTGACCCATGGGAAACCCCAATGAAACTACTACTCTCAAAAACGGACGACCTGGAACATTGGAGCAGACTAAGCTGACATGGCTGTGGGTCAAAACCAATGGTACCATTTTGGGATAGGTGCACCACCCATTTTAGAACCTATTTTAGTGGGGATGGGGATGTTCACTGGGGGTACGATTTGGGTTTTGACCCATGGCCACATAGTTCAACAGGCTCTGCCCGAAGGTCCGGAGATTGAGTCGCAGCAGTTCAGCTTCGAGTCGCTCCCTGACGATCGCTTCAGTCAGCGAAGCCGGGGAAGCCTACGAATCGCCAGCGCAACCGAGATGAACAGAGGAGAAGCTGGATGCAGCCAAGTGGACTTTGGCAGATGTATCAACTGTTTGGTTTCCGAGTTCCTGGCCTTTAGTCGCTTCTTGGGCTTGGACCACGTCAGTGGCCAACCAAAAGTTGCGACTTCTGGCCGATCCACTACGGAAGTGAGAGGCCAAGCGCTGGTCAACCGCTGGTAGGACCGCGATCGATGGAAAAGGGCGACATGTTGCTGTGGCTCAAAAACCGGAATTCCCAAACAGGTTACCTAAGTGGAAACATGGACCAAGCCCTGCGGTTTGCCCCTCGGTGAAAATTGATTGCCGCACCCACATGGTGCTCGGGCCTTGAAGGGGGTGGGGCTTGAGATCTTTGTGAGCCTCGCTTCCTGAGTTCATAAACTGTAAGCTCTTTGGGCTTGCATCAGTTCAGCGGCAAGCAAGAAGTTTGGATTTTGTTTGACCCGTGAACTCGGGAAGTGAGGAGCTGGTCAAAGCTTGATTGCTTAAACACACTGCAGCGCAAAATGCGTGTTTTAGGAATTGAGATGAGGTGGGACTACAACTGCAAGCATTGAACAAGTATTGGGAGCACTCCTGGCAGTAATTATGATTCGCAATGGCTTTGGGAATTCAAAAGCGCATGTCTATCCGATGGGGAGAGGGACCCGCATAATTGTACTCTTGTGTGCGCTTGTGTGTGGGGGGAGGTTCTGGTGGGTGCCAACAATGAACTGCTTGTCTTGGCCAAACCTTGTTGGTGCCTTTCTGACAATGCGCCAGAACTAAGGACCGGCGTCAATCCAACGTATTTCCCTGATGTGCATGGTCTGTTTTGCGAAGGCTGACATCCGCGGCATCGCATCCTAGCGATAGCCACTTTTTTGTTGCGCCTTTCAACGGAACACCGGGCAGCCACTCAGTCTGGGCACCGGCTGGAATCAAATGGCTGTGGGTCAAAACCAATGGTACCATTTCGGGGTGGGTGCACCACCCATTTTAGAACCTATTTTAGTGGTTGGATTGAATCGGATGTTCACTGGGGATACGATTTGGGTTTTCACCCATGGCCAAATTCTCATGTCCGGTGATCTTGGTTTCAGTGTTCTTGGATCTTGAATTGAGATCCGCTTCATTCGGGGTGCCATGACCCTAAGAAACAGAGTCTTTCCCAGGTTGCACTCTGCGATTTTCACTCTTGACCACTGCTTTGCACATGTCGTACAAGCCAAAGGAGCCATCCAACTATTCAGTTGCATTGCACAGCCGGCCCTGGGCGCGCAGGGTTGGGGGATCAAGGGATTCTCCCCACTGCTGATACAAGTTGGAATCCCCCTTTGAGCAAAATCGTCTTTGGGAAGCCCTTCTGTTGTACAGTGGTCATTCCCCACAACCCTGTTGGCGCGGTTTTGTCAGCGGTACCCTTTGACCCATTTTGAATTATTGTTGGTGGAGGGTTCCCCTACTAAAATACAGAAAAAAAATGGTACCCTCATTCTAACCTCTCTGGAGGACCTAGATTCAGTTGCAACGAACTGACCGGCGCCTCTTTGCCTTTTCGGTTTTCCACCTCCCCCTTCGACTCGCGAGCTGCATTCGAGGCAGTCTGAGATGACCGACGTCGTCCCGCAGCTCGCAGGGGCCCCCAGCTGAGCGAGCGCCATGGGAGCCACGTGAGTCGCCAGGTGAGTCGTAGGCCGGGGCAAGAGGACTGTGCATTTCTGCTTATTATGGTTTAGTGTTTGAAATCCCCACTTAACTGCTTTTTTTTTGCTCCCCTTCCAACGTCAACCAAGTACAGGTGAATCACGCTGCAACAGAAGTTTTGATCAGATTCCCTTTGCCTGATTTCACATGGCTTTAAACACTTGCACAGAACCTCGACTTGTAAGCTCAGTGGGCTCTTTCTGCGATCTTTGCAAAATGCGCCTGAAGCGGCATTGCCCTTCTCGAGAGCCCTTTGCAAGGGCCGATGAACATCCCTTTGAGAGATGCTTTGATCCCATTGCCACCACGGAACACGCGACATTGACTTTCCGCGGCTGTCCTCATAAAAAGAATCTGATTGGGAACAAACAACGGTCCCTTTAAACGGTGTGGCATGGTTTTTCAACATATTCCCTTCCCAAAATTGGTTGCAAGGGACCCCTTTTAGATGGATGAACATTGGAAACCAAGCAATGAAAAAACGTTTGGAGTCAACATCTCAACCATGGAATTTTCTGGATGCCTCTCTGTTTCTTGTTCCGGTGTGTTGAAACACATGACCCAGTGGAACGGCCTCAGGTCAAACCGCGCGAGTTTGCCAAGTCCTCGGGACTGGAGTTTGTTCCATGGTCAGATGGCCATGGGTCAAAATCCAAAATCCAAATCGTAGCCCCAGTGAACATCCGATTCAATCCAACCACGAAAATCGGCTTTAAAATGGGTGGTGAATTCACCTAGCCCTAAATGGTTTTGACAACCACAGGCATATGTTGCTTGAAGCTTGCGGCAATTGGGGGCTCCTTGTCCAATGAAGAATTGAGAAGGGGGGTGCAACTACAACATCCGCCGAGTCCGGCCTCTCCCTCTTTTTGGGGGCGCCCTCGGCCACAAATCGCGCCTTGGGAGGCCTTGTCACACGAAAAAGCTCCGCGCGTGCCATGGCAGGAGGAGAGCTTCGTCAAAGCGCCAGGGAAACCCGCTGGAAGCTGAGCCGTGCGCTGGTTGCGCAGGTGCCTTCCATTTCAGCGCCAGAAACGAATCCAACGGGGAACACTCAGGTGGACAGGACTCTGCATGTGGGTGGCTCATCTTTTTTAGGTCGGATCCTCCAAAATGGCGGTTTTCCTCTTGGGTTCCCTTTACAAAAGCTGAAAAAGGGGGTGCTCTCAAAAAACACAGCCATGTAAATGATCTGCAAGGGTCGGCAGTTCCGCAATTTGTCCCCGACACGTGGCTATACTTTGGTGCCGATCGCTGGGTTGATGGCATTGCTGGGGACAAGTTGCATGGGAATCTCCGTTGGCTTGTCAATCAGGGTTATTCAACAAGGGTTCCTCCATTTCTCTCTTTTTTTGCAGCTCCAAAGTGGCGATCGTTTCAACGGAGACCAGTCAATTGCAACTGTTCAAGGGCCCTGTTAAATCACCGTGTGATTAGCCACCAGTTTGGAAGGTGTATCCAAGTCTTGCGGTCGTAGTCCATCCACTTGCAAGCACCGGTTGCTCGATCCGAGGGAGTTCCAGAAAAGTACCCCAACCTGCGTCTTTAGGCCGACCTCGGCCCTCAAGGCATTTCCTGGTCCTTTTGCGGAGGGTCCCTTCTGATGCTTAGGGTAGGGTGTTTTCCAGGATGGGATTTTAACGGACAGATGTGTGCTGTACTCGTTTCTTCTGTTGGCCGAAGCTTTGCGTGATGGACATGTCCTATTTTAACACCCCTTTTTGGAGGGCGGTTGAAAGGGAAACCACAGGACACCCATTTGGGTGTGTCTTTTCCAAGAAAACAACAACGTAGGGTTTCCTTTTGGCTTCCCATTGAAACCACCAAAAGAACACACACACACACCCCTCCCTAATGCTAAGCGGGTCCCTCCGGAAAAACCGGTTTTAGCATTGAGGGTCCCCGGATCGTTTTTTTAGGAACACCCTGTGTGGAGAGAGACTTTGTAGTACAGCGCTAAAGAAAGCGTACTCCCGGAGCTCCTGCTCGAAAGTCGCAACTTTGTAGCACGAGCCTAGTGCAGGAAACGTGCCCCCTGTCTGTGTGTGTGTGTTTCGTTTCAGGGAAGGCCAGGCAGGGAGACCCAAATACTAAGAACCACGGAGCCTCATACTAAAACCCGCCAGCACAAGGCGGGGAATCCCCATTGTTTCGTTTCAGGGAGGCAGGCCAGGCACGCTAAGAATGACGGACAATGTTAAAACCCTCCAGCGCAAGGGTGTGTGTGTGCGCATGCATGGCCTTGAGTGGCAAAAAGGCAACCCCACTTTACCAAAAATGGCTTGAGGGATTGAAGGTGCAAATTCATGGCTCCCTAAGGCTGGATTTGGGCACGGGCGGGACAATACCCACTTTAGAATTAGTTTAGCATTGGCTCTTCTAAAAGTAGTATGCTCAGATTTGGGATTTAAAAAAAATAAAATGGTTTTAGTATTGGGGCACCGTTTAGCATCAGGAAGAAGGGATTGCCTGTAAAAGGACAGCAGTTTGTGCCAATTGAGTTGCCCAAGGTCGGCCGCCACAGCAGCATGGGTTCCATGGAGACTGCAGATACAGACCAGCTAGATATGCCGGGGGCCCCTCAGCATCGCGTCAACCTTTTTGTTGGCGCGCGCAAAAAGAAAAGCGTGTAAGTTTCGCTGACTTTTAATATTCATGTCACCTGAAGCCAGGGTGTAAGAGGTGGGCACCCAAATCTGCCATTCTGAGGGGATATTGGTTTCGCAAGAAAGGCAATGCCAAGCATCCAAGCAGCAGCAAGACTAGTGAGAAACACTTGCTGGCCAGAATCCAACAACCTATAGCATGCCTCTGCTTTTGTAGAAATGTAAATTACACTGTGACTATGCACGAGCATTGATAGCATGGATTGATTGCCCATCAACGCTCATACGCGCACGCTTCACCTGGAGTCAAAGGAGATGCAGTTGGCAAAGGGTGGCAACAAAGCATTTTGGCAACCATGTGTAAACTGTTCAGGACTTGACCACATGTTGTGATTGTCCTAAGATGTGGGATTTTATATTGATGTCGGCTCATGGGCAAAAGTCAGCGATGAGGTGCGAAGACCCGCTATCCGGATTGATTTCTACACCATGCTGTACCCTTGTTCAGGCCTCACTGTGTTTTCCGTTTTAAGATGGTTTAAACATCAGTTGTTTGCCGCATGCAAGCTGAGGTTTCCCTGGTATCGGTGATGGTTTAAGGGGGGAATGTAGGGAGCTCTGATGTTTGTTCAATTAATGACAGCTTATGACGGAACAGGCTGAGAATTTGTGAATGTCGGCCAAGTTTGTTTTTTCCAAATAGTGTCACACACACACACACATGAGCCAGGATTGTGCGAAACCCGAACGGCTCAACTGTCCAATATGCGATGCATTCACGTGTTCTTTTGAACAGTGATGTTTTCTCAAGGTTGCATGCAGTATCTCACAATATAAGTGCCCACGCTACCCCCAAATAGCGCGTGTCACCTCCCAAGTTCATGGAAGAGCTCCTGGCACCA